TTCTAATGTCTTTTCTCTTACTATGCAAATAACACTGCGTCGTTCGGAAAATGCTATATTGTTCGTTGCATTGTTATTTTACCGTTGTTTAATTTTACAATGGATAGAGAGGCATGTGCTTGTTACTCGTTTAAAAATTCATTACTAAAGATGAAGCCTCGTAACCATTTATTCTTTCACCCTCTGTCTAATAATATCCTTACTGAAACAAGATTTCTCGGTACTTGTATAGAGAATATAAATGAAAATAAGTGATGAATAATTTTTAAAAAATTTGTTATGAGAAATATAATATGTTTTTAATTAGGATAATTAATAACTCTGTTTTTCACCCTCATTCACAACCCTTTTATGAATTATTTATACCTCATATAATAGAAATAAAAATAGAAAAAGAATATCTTTTGCAACTATTAAGACTTGAAAAAATATTAAAAAATTACAAAATAACTTGTGAGAAGAAAATAAATAGATACCATGGCTGAATTAGCTTTCACTCTGTTACCCCCTTTACCTTACATAATTTATACCGTGACATTTTTATATTATGAATACTATTGGTATTTTGTTGTACGCATTATTTACACCGTAACACGAGATTAAGAGCAATGTAAGACAAGGCTATGAAAGACGAGGGGAGAATCAAGGTCTTTACGAATAACTACGTCTACTCTTTCCCCTTATTACCTTTGCTAATTTACATATCTAGTAGCATTGCACTGAGACTATTATAGTAATCAACTGATTGCTTATTACAGTATCGAATTACATATAATTTATTATGCAATCAGCAGACACTTCCTACGACCGGTGTTGTGCAAATGATTCTAGAATATCGTTTACAAATGTACATTAGTAAGGTGGTTATTAGAAAATAATGTCGCAAGGTAAATTGATTGTCGCCTATCTAAGAGATTGGCGAAGTTCATTTATATTCGCCACGAGAACCAGACTCCTGAAACCGATTAATGATAGGTTGACATCTATGCTATGTTGATCGTTTAGAATATTCTATCTTAATAAACTCGAGTTAAAGAATTCAATAGAAATTTAACCTTTCAATATTTTCAATATTGAATGCTATAATTATAGAAATTTTTTTACAAATACTTGAACACTGTGTCACTGCAATTGTAAAAAATCTTTCCAATTAATAGTGACGAATTTCATATTTTAAATCATAAAATTTATTGAAATATACGTTAACTTTTATTAATATAAAAAATTATTGCATATGCTGGTTTAAGTTTCAGTCTGTATCTATTTATTTTTCTATTTTATTTTCAATTAAAAATTCAGTACCTATACCTATATTGAACGTCAGTAATTCTAGTGTTAAATTTAATTTTAATTTTCTCCGATATATACAAAATTTCTTTAAGAAACTCAAACATGTCTGAGCCAGGAATGTTCCAGGATCCGAACAAAAAAACCGAAGCTATCGATAGAAATCAAATTGTCATTCGTAAGTAAGAGGCCAGTAGAAAACGGAATTGCTCAGCAAATATCTGGAATGAAATTTTTCGTAAATGCACTCGTTCCACGACGCGATTCACATAGGAAGGTGGTATTAAACCGAGTCACGTTCCAGCAGCTCGCTGCTATCGGGAGAGTTCACGATTCAGAAGGGAGAAAACGGTTTGTTAGCCGAACAGAGAACAATCGTCGTCGAGCGGCGATATATAGAACGGTTCGTCGGTTCGCAGAGTTAATGGGTATCTCGTCCCAATTCCGATACAATGTGCTCCGTCGAGCAAAGAGGGCAACTTCGATGATGCGAAACGTACCGGATTCTTTTCGCAATCTGTTCGTATCGGTTGGAAAAGAAAATTCGAAATAAGAGAACTCATGATAAAGAGATTGCTGGCAAACAAAATGCTACCGTGGAAATAATCCATCACGTTTCCTGCACGATGGACTGATTTCAATAAAGAAAGTGGATGCAACATGCTTCAGATTTTTTCCAAATAAATTATTTCATTTAAATCTCTCCTGATGGAATTCATTTATTTTTAATTTTGAAACTCCTATATTTCTTCTATAATTTTAAAATGAAACCAAAATTAACAAATAAAGATATTCAGAAAAATCACCGAGTTGATAGCTTAACATATTCCAATAAGATAAGTAAAATAATTCCTAATAATATAGGAAATAGTTTATTATGGGAATTCAAATGTAATCTAAATATGAGTGACACGGCAGTCGGCCTGTTAAAATTTAATTTCTTTTCTTGTTTCTCAACTTTGCATACTTCGAAACCCTCCACTTGATATTCAACACCCTAATATAATATCTTCCATGAATTCCGCATATCAAAACATAAGTCCAGCAAACAATCAAAATTACTTAATCGTATAGCAATTTTTCCGTCATAAACGACTATAATCGTGATTAATATTCGCAAGTCGTTTCACAGAGGACGACTATGGCGAAGTTTAGCGAGGGAAAGGGTTAAGCGGACAAGACTCGACGACACGGTGACGGGTACACCTCGTGAATCACCGACGACCGACCGCCGCTTAATGGAAAATTCATTTTACACGCCACGCACGCTCGCGCGACACGCACACGGAACCCTAGTTATGATACCGCCGATTCAGATAAGCGACTCCAAGGAACAGGTTTCCTTTTTTCTTTCCTCCGTACATACGGAGTCTCCTCGCAGAGGCGCTACCGGTTTAATTTATTGCTGGGCGCAACGTTATCGGGCGACGATTTGCCCTATTAATCGAAACGTGACCGTCGATCGAGCTGACAAGAGAAATCGGTGAATCTTTATCTCTTCGCAACCGCGTACGTGTGCAATAAGTTGCCCATAATTTGAATAATTAATGGACAACACTAAATTTTTCAGCAAAAACCATTAATAATTATTATCATAGATCAATTCTAAGAATGGTATTTGAATTATTAAAGTTAAATTTAATTAACTTTTATCTTAACATTAAAGTTTAGTTTAATTAAAATTTAATTAAAATAATTACTTCGTGAAATTTTATTTTTAAATTTTCCATTAATAATTAAATTGTTAAAATTTAAATATTTGTTTCTAAATTATTTTTTGGTTTATTCAACAATCACTAATGGTAACTTCTTTTATCTATTAATGGAGAAACGAAGGTTGATCGAGACGAAGAGGTTCATTAGTCATCGCGGTATATTATTAAACAGTAAACCAGGTTAACCTATTTACAGAGTATACCGGTAACGATACGATACGTTTTCTCCCGAGACGTGAAACTGGAGCGGTTTCTATTTTTTCTGCTCTCCAGAGTAGTCCAAAGTGCGTGCATTAGTTCTGTAATTTCATTGATCGTGCACCCAATAGAGTTGGCCTCGAGCGACATTATTACGTTTTCTCTTCTGCCATGCGAGTCGAGACGAATCGTTCGTGTTTTTATTGCAATTACACTTACGTAATCTGCGAGGCTGTTAGTCTAACGCTGAACAGAGCTAACTTGAATGGGAACGTATTTGCTTTGAAAGGAGATTCGAAATTAGTCACCGTTTTCCATTTTTTCAAAAGAATGACAATTCGAAGAATTATCTTAATTTTAAGTAGTACATAAATATCGAAGAAGCTTATTTTTAAAGAATTCTTTTTTAAAATAATTGTTGCAAACATTGGTATAAATAAGTAGAGACCAAAGTAGGCCTGACTTCCCCTAAAATATGGACTGATCCCTCCCCATTAGAAATTATTAGAATAATAATACCACTGTTATAATTATTTCGAATTTCCAGGTGTAAGTGAAACATTTTGCCATTTATCACGAATGTGTTTAGAATGCAGGAAAATTAAAGATGAATTATATGGAAAATAAACAAATACCCAGTAACGTTCAGATACTATCCAGTTAATTCGAGCATATTTGATCGCATGGTATAAGTTAATATCAACATTAAATAGAGAGCTCGCATGCGAACAGATCAGATCGTATCAAGCTGCATAAATCGTGTGCAAAAGTGGCCGAAGTTATGAATAGGCACAATTGCTCGTTGAAATTGCGAACGACGAGCAAACATGAAGAGCCATCATCGATGGGGGAGGGGACAGAAAATGGACGGAGATTTTTCAAACTGCGTATAAATAATGCAATGCCATCGAAGACAAGTGACGGCATGTAACGATAATTTGTCAAGCACGATTCTCCTAAAAATTACACAAAGTGGCAGACGAGCCGGTCGGCCTTGGGTGCTTCGCAATTACGCTTCCACCGCAAATAAGCCGAGATGACATCACGTTTTCATGTTTTCGCACGTTCCATGTGGAATTCGTGTGATCCTAACTCCGATAACACGGTTCTGGAAAAGATTCGAGAGCGATGGTCATTTGGTATTTTTTTTTGCTAACTCGGTGCAATTTTATGAAATTTTTAACAGATTGCAAATTCTAGGATGATTTTGTTATATTTTTCAAGACTTCAAAAGCGTTGACATATTTTTTATACAATTAAAGTCAAGATCATTTTATTCGAGAAAAAAGTATACGCATGTGAATGTATATTGTTCATCATTCAACTCCAAAATTCTTTCCAAAGTACTCTGAAGCAAGTAAAGAAATGACAACGAAGATTTATGAATCATAATTGAAACAGATCAACATCAATCACAAAGCAATTCGCAAGATGACTGGACACAAATGGTACAATAATTCCCAGACAGTAAGAAATTGGCAACGTCGAAATACCCCTTTACTCGACAAAAAAGGAAATTGTGGTACAAAGCTTGCAATTTGAAACACTTAGTCTAAATGATAAGTGTTTCAATAACAATACTCGATTGTCCACGGTATAAATATAAATTATCAAACCTTATTATGAAAATATAGATAACTTTGATAATAATAAAAATTCCTATGATATTCCTCGAATTCACGTAATTACGAAAAGCAATTAAAAACTTTTCTTTTAATTAAAACGATGAGATAAAAATCGTATCTGAAACGACGCGATTCTGACGCGCAGCAGTTATTTTTAAAGCGCATCTTACAAAGGAGAACGTAATTGTTACTTCGATCAGTCACAATTTCCAAGAAAACAAGGAAAATTAATCGGTGTATCGTGCGTTCGGACACGTACTCCCTGTAATATAAACTGCAATTAACAATGAATTATTGAAATTCTGTATACTGTTGAACAAAATATATAAAAAGAAAAGATATTCTACAATAAATTCATAAAAATTATATTTTTAATATCGATGGCTCTTAAAGGATGTCTGGGTTGCGCGCGACTGTATTTATCCATGTCAGAGAAGATTGAATGACCTGTCGTATAATTTTGTCCATCGGTGTATTTAGAAGTTATCAGGAAGCAAAATAGGGGAGAAGGAGAGTAGCAATCATGCATCGATACGGGGAAGGAAAACAGGCCTAATTGTTGGTAAGTTAACGATGATCGATGATAACGGGTCGCGCTCCCCTTATCAGAAACGGTTGATGTTTCAAGGAGCTGTTGCGTGCAACGTCAAGTCTCTTATATCGTGACGTGTTTGCAAATTTTGAGAGGCAAATAATCATGGAACAAGTCTATCACCCTCTCTTATTGTTCTGATCCAGGAAGAGAAATCCCAAGAAAATGAAATTCAGAATATACCAATTCCATGTTAGAATTTATATTTATTTTAGATTTATTTTAAAATAGTAGTGTCCCAAAAATAATAATTATAACAAAGTTAATTTTTCCTCCTGAACGAATAATTTTTTTATTACATACATCAAAGAACGTTTCTCGCGACAAAAGCTTTAATTTGTAGAATAAATAATATTGAAATAAATGATTCGTTAAAAACTCAGCATTCTACAAATCACTGAGAAAGTTAATTACTCGCAATGAATATTCATAAAAGCATATCAATTTTTCAGGATATTAATAAACGTGAATTTTACCGTATTTCAATACCGTACGATCGTTCAAACAGGAAAAAGAATAAAATATAAAAAAAAAAAGTTTTTCGTTCGCAGATAGCGCGAGATTAAAAAGCGCTATCAATTTTCAGCAGTAAATTCAATAAACGAGGGAGTACGAGCGAAATGAAAATTTCCATACGTATTACGAGCACGACAATCACGTTGCAACGTTCCTGGTGCAACGAGCACTGTCACGATTATTCGATTATTTTATACAATTATCTTTGCGCGAAGTTTGAGGGCCGGTTAAATAACCGCCGACGAAAATGCGACCGTCCACTGCGATGTCAGAGAATTTTTCGTATAATCCGATTAAATTTTCACCGATTCGCCGTATCTATGCACGCATAAAAGTTGTTGCATCGCGGATGCAGATATATGCAACGAGCAAATGCGATGAAACTTGATGCACGCCGCGATACAGCGAAGCGCAATAATTTTTAATCCTGTCGAGCGTCTCGTTGACGGGTAATAACCTGGATGCAAATGCAATAGCTGGTTATAAAGTTCGCTTTTTTTTCTCTTTTAACTATCAATTTCGAAAAACGACCATCTGACGGAACTCTTTAACGTTGAAACAACCGGCGTTCGATTTATATCTATTTTAATGTTGAAAATAAATTAATGAAGTGTAAAAGATAAATAACCATGATTATTCCTTATCTCGATAAGAGCAGCTCGATAATTTCTGTAATTTAAAATAAAAACTTTGAAATCTTATCAAATTATATTTTAACTGAAATATATCGTGTTCCAGAAAGAAATCACCCAGGGATCATTTATTTAAGGTACAGTGTTGAAAGAAATAAGAAAGAAAAAATATCTGGTCAAGGAAATATAATTTTCGTTAATTGCTTTCCGTTCGTATATTTAGTGTTAACATCTTGAGAACTCTCGATCGATAAGAATTAACTTTCGAACAGGCTTGTATTTCCGAGGCCCATTTCCAAGCAGACTCGAATTAATTATCTTTCCAATCACGCATTAATGTCTCATGACGTAGGGAACGCAATTAAAATTACACTTTATCGTTCTCGATAGTCCTCCACGTTTAATTACAATGATCCAAGGTGATAAAAGTGCAGATACGTAGCAAGTTACCCGATATGTATATGTTTACCTTGAGACATTTTCAATGTTAAATTTGCCCCATTTTATTGATAATTAAATATTGAACGAGGTACAGGAATATCGGATCAGGTTTTAGTACATGTAATTATAATTAATGTTTGTTAGCTCATTTTGCAATTTTAACATATAAAAACTAATTAAAGTACTAACTCGTTATAGTAACCTTAACATTTGATTCAAATATTTTCTTAAATAGCTTGTCAAAAAAACGAGACAACATTTTTCCTTCGATGACTCGTTAAATCACGTACCATCAAAGTGGTAAATAAAAAAACGATCCTCCTCGGCGTAATTAAATTTACCACCGTCATTCCAACCACCGCAAAAATAAGGACGGTGTTTACCATTAATTAATCTTTTTCCAGGCCGAGAGCGTGGCGAGATGAAAGGCGTAGCGAGCATGAAAGTCTCCGGTCGGTTATTAAGAAGAAACGACAAAGAAAAAAGGAACATAATTAATAAGCGAGAGAGACCATGGAAAAAAGCAGCATCAGGAAGAAAGTTCAAGCGAGATCCATTCGACTGAACCTAACAATCAGATCCGGAAGCGTATTTTTATAAGCGTCTTGATCGATCCGATCGATCATTAGTATATCTACACTAGTGATGTGCGGCCGTCCAAGCCCTCCCGATTTTTTCTGAGCCCGTAATATCGGGTACCCGCACACCCCTAATCTACACACTTTTTCATGCGGTTAATGTAATTAAAGGGAAATCCTATTGGAGCCGGTCACGATTATATGAATCTCCATCGGTGAAACGTGAAAGGAGTAACGCTCGAAGTGCGTACTCGACAACGTTTGCTTCGCAAACATCCAGCGATAAAGCGCTTTAACGAGTGCGTCGAGTGCCTCGTGAGAGTTCCTTCTCCCTCTCTTTTTTTGCCCTCCCCTCGAACCAGAGATCATTAATTAGCTCCGTCGAATGAAAAACAGCCTCTCGCCTATTCGGGACCGCCGACTAGGCCGACAATAATAAAGCGGGGCAATTAGCCACTTTTAATAACATCGTTTCATCGAACGACTTGTTTGTACTTTCTTCCTTTTATAACGATCCAACCTCATTGGTATGCTTCTTCTTTTTTGGTCAGTAACATCCTAATGATTTCGTGCACGTGTCGTTGTTCCGACGTTAATTACCGTTTAATTGACCTAATTTTCGGAATGCTATCCAGCAACCAGCGATAAAAGGATGAATTGAAATTTGCGAACAGAGCTGTTACAAATTGTTACAATGCTGTTTCCCTGATTAATCGAAGGGAATTGATGCGCTCCGGTTTGGGCGGATGGAAGAGGCAATATACCAGTCGTTAGAAACTGAAATTGACCGAGTCCGGGAACGAGGAGACCGAGGTAGATTCATTTAAACGGGACCCTTGCGGAGTAACTTCGATCGAGGAACGAGGATATTACTTTGGTTAGTTAGTATTGGATGATTACTTGAGGTGATGCAAACAATCTTTGTGTTTAACTCTTGGACAGCAAACCCTGGGTCGATCTTGTCCCAAACTTACAAAGCGGTATACAGGAATATTAAACTAAAGTTAAATATATAATTTTTAAACGAAAGAGTTTCATATAATTGGAAGAATAATTTTTAGAGCAACAGTGAAATGCGGAATTAAATTAAAAGTGGGTCTCTCTCTATGGTCCGCCGTTCGAAAATAAATAACACAGTCATTCTAAAGGGTAGCTTTTGTTTTACAAAACGAATTTTTGCAAATAAATAAAATATTACCTATATCAGTGAGTGATTTACTATTTATTTATAATGATAATTTGAGAAATAAATATTTTTCTCCAAATTGCCTTCACAATTCTGTGGCTACAATTACACCTGCGGTTATTGAAAATCTATCATTCCATGAAATTTCATTAGGATCGATGAAGAACACATTCGGAGAGGCAATGGAAGAGCCTTCGATCGAGAAAGACTGTAATTGAGTAGCGACGTACGAAGGAGGGGCACGGCTTCCTTTGTACGAAGACAGTCGACTGCAAGCGTTGTAAAGTTGTGCCATGGATCCCGGCGAACAGCCGCTCGTAAATATGCACGTCGCTTCATGAATATGCATTGTTCGCGGTGCATACGCGCCTATACGACGTTGCGGTTCTCTACCTGTACACCTTAAGACCCGACGAGTTTCGAACATCAAGCATACGAAATATGAGAGCCGCGTTCCGTAGTCCGTGGCTCGAAAAAATGAGGCCACCGGCGTCAGACGGTTCGCCGGTTAATTAACCAGCGAATTATTATCGAGAAAAAGGAAAATAAAGGGGATGATGTATTGCCTTATCAATCGCGAAACTGTCGGAAAGATAGGACGCCTTCCTCGTAGGCGAAGGCCACCCAGAGAAAGTCAACAGACGATCGGGCCCCCTGTGTAAATGAGAAATTTTTATCGGATCCCTCATCCGATCGGGCTTCCCAGGCGACGACGCCTGAAAATTCCGGCCACGATGGAGAGAAGCATGTTAAACTATTAGCTCTGTAAACGCTAAAAGCTACGATGAAAGCTCCGTTTCGCGGGACCGGGAAATTTCATTAGACCCGCTGATCCGTTCAAATGTTTAATCTGTCTGGATATAATCAGTCGGCTAATCGAAAAAGAGCAAAAGAAGGATGGTTTCGCTAAACGATCCTCCGATGAACTAGAACTGTGAATATAACAGATCCGATTTGGTTATTCTTATTGTTTAATCTTGGATTTAAATTAATCGGGAAAAGAAGATATAATTTTTCTTACGGCTTAGAAATGCGTATGTGTAACATATAAGACATGGCAGCTTTAAAATGAACCCTGAACCCAATTATGAGTTAATTTGTATTTGATTCATATTAGATTATCGAATAACTAAAAGGGAAAGGGTTAAAAAGATTTTAATGTAAATTATAATATTAGCTCTTTGAACTCTGGAGATGCCATTATAAATTTTTTTGTGAAACTTGTAATATTATTTTTATAAAAAACAATTCATTTTACCATTGTACATTGATTTACTTAATTTGTCTTAAGACAAATACAAGTTGACGCGCAATAACATCGAGTTCAAAGGGTTAAAAGTAATAATGTTATACACCTGGGTACAAATGATCCTATCGTTGCTTTTAAATTAACAACACCTTTCATCTTTCTACAGTGTTAAAATGATCTATTATCCTGAGACTTCCAAACTAGCTTTCCCCCTTAAGGTATTAGAATTCATTGATCCAAATTTTTGATCAATAACGTACACCTATATTATAGTTCCCTACACATAACGTCCACCTCTATTATTATACCATGTAGGTATACACGTTCCTGAATAAACATGATTTGCCCGCGCGCCACCAGGATTACATATCCTGCACCTTGACTCGGCGAGATGTGGAGCGTCTTAATCCATATGCATGCGAGTCCGAGGCGAGAATACCGACGTGGTCAATCGCTTCTTTTGTTCTTTTACACCGTTACGTGAAGAAACGTCCACGAGGTGTTCCCGTCGATCAGGGCCCGTTTTATGGATAAACGCCGAATACGGAGGAACGAGTTGGTAGCTCGTTTTTTCGAAGCTGTTAATACCGTGCTCGTACGCATGAATCATTTATGAACGATTCGAAATAACTCGGCTCGATGGAAATAGATCGGGAGGCCGAAGAAGCGCGTGGAGGAATGGAAATGCGTTATATAACGCTAAGAAGAGACTGTTCACCGAAAGTGAGTGTGTGTATGTACAATACGTACACACGCGAGCACGTCTTTCGCGTTGGCACGTAATCAATCGTCAATTATAGGAAACAACCCTGTGAATGATTATAGTCCCGAGCGAGTCTAGAAACTCTGGCTACTGGTTGATTATGCATACGAGTGTATTTTCGTTGCTCCTTGACGAAATTGAGATATATGATCGTTAAGATTCTCCTTTCGACATCTTTAACCCTTTGTTACCGAGATGAATTTTTGGCTTGAAAAGAAACGTTTCAGTCAATAAGAATATTTTTTTATCTGATGAAAAATGGCATAATGATAAAAATTGTTAATATTATATAAAATAAAGTTTATAATTACAAGTGAAGACAAATTTAAATATTATAAAATAAAAATACACGCAATCAAACCAAGTTTCACAGGGTTCCCTCCTTTCCCCGCGGGCGGTCCCAACGAGAATGACGATATCGGGGAGAAGGACTCGTACATATAGGTCTTTGGTCTCCCACTACTTGCATATAAACTACGTGGGAAAATTTGAATTGATATTCATTTAGTTATATACTATATATCATATAATTTTCGAAATCACTATTATGAAAATTCCTATTTTCCCTAGTAAAGCTTGGTTTGATAAAAAATGTACTTTTATTCGATACCGATAAAAAATGATTATATGCGATAATTTACCCTCCATTTCAAATTTATCTTTCCAAATTATTTTTAATCGAGAAATAAGTATACATTCTGATACTTCTGAAAACATTCTGAAACTTACAAGCAACGCGATGAATCGAAGAAACTCGACGCTCTAAAAACAAGCCACAAGCATCGGAGCTGATACAAATATATCCAGTCATGTAGATATTTAAGTGGCACGATGCATATTTATGTCCGAGCCGCGAAGACGAGGCAAGGAACGAAAGACAAACGGAACAGATTGGTTTCCGGCAGCACGGCGACCGAGGTGGCAGCTGCGAGGCTGGCCGTTTCGAGGCCTGGGTTTGTCACAGGAGGCAGGAAACGCTCGCACCCGTTAATAACCCAATTAAAATGGACAGGAAACGTACTCCTGCGCCGTTGGTCTGGCCGATGCCACACGACGCGACGCGTCGACAGCGTTACTATTATCGCCGCTATTACTGCCACTACAGGTGCTGCCGCATCCAAGGAAGACTTGTAAATGAAACTAGTTCACTAGACTATATTTTCTCAATGACCTCTAAATAAATAGATAAGACTAAAAAAAATACTATGTTCAAACACTAAGTTAATCTTCAATTAAAAAAATTTTTATAAATATTTATGTTACCTAATATGTATTGCTAATAATACAGATACCAATATCAAGGGATTATGATCGTTAAATTATCAGGAAATATAAGATAAAAGTTGAAACAATTATTACACAAAATAAATGAAATTCCATCGCGATAAAAAAAAAGATGATAAATCTTTATCTACCTTTGGAAAGCTTGATTATTACGCGGAAGAGTTTCAACATTTCCAACGTGCTTGATCGGTAATCGGAAATCAATAATGGTTGAAAAATGAAACATTCTAGAACCGGCAATCACGACTAATAGTTCGATCGAAATATTAACAGCGTTCGACGATACAGATACGATTCCCTGGACCAGTTCAAAGTCCCTGTATTTCGCATCGATTAGCGATTAATCAATTACGATAGTAGGTAGCCTTCGGACCCATCTCGTGGCCATAAATTCCCGATAATATCGGGAAGGATTAAAGCTCATCGTCAAAGCGAAGATAACTCGCGAAATATAATAGTCGGATCGATACGATCGGAATTCGAGGATCAAAACCTATCGCGTTTATAACGAACGACCGTGTAACCCGGGCCAGCTGGAACAACCAATTTCCTCCTTTAATCGAAAACGCGCAATTACACTCGATTACCTTTTTCCCGTGGAATAAACAATAATCGTGCAACCGTGTACCTGGGATTCGGTATCGGTCTTACCTGAAACAGAGAAACGAAGGAACAATTTAATACGATGATCAATCAGTTGAAACGAGGACGATACGAAAGGCGAATAAAAGGATATGATAAAACGAACACGAATAATTCAAGGTACCAAGGAAATACAATAATGATAAATCAATTCGTTTCAACTTGCAATTTGTCGTTTGTGAAATAAGAAACACAGTGTCGTTGTGATATAATTTGATGACATAACAGTACGACTAAATGCCACTTTTGGCACATCAATTTGAAGCTTAAAGTTCACTGAAAATAACTACGTAAAGTTTTCATTAAAATTTTTAATTTAAATTAATTAATTGTCTGAAAATTATATGTTATGGATTATTATATGATATACAATACGGTTCTCTGTCAATGATTCAATTTGTATTAAAATTATTAATAAAAAGAATATATAATTATTTTCAGCAATCTTTAAGCTGCAAATTGATATATCAGAAGTGCCATTTTGTAACACTTTTATGTCATCAAATTATGTCAGCTTTTGTATATTTTAAAATCAGTCATTTGTTTGTTGCAACTGGTAATCAGCCATTTTATATTAAGAATATTAATGAAACATTTATATAATCAATTTCAGTGAACTTTAAGCTTCAGATTAGTATAGACTGAGTATTATTTTATGATACTTTTATGTCATTAAATCTTATCCGACTATTGATGTGTCCAAATCGAACATTTAATATTCGACGTAAAATGAAGTTCACCGTTACTAGAATGTCAAATGAAACGGCCATAAACGTTCGACAAATATGGACGAAGCAATTACCGATTTTCCAGTGAAACACGAGCAGAAATATCGGGAACGGAGGGCAAATCAGTTGCGCGTCATCCGGAACACGAACGGAGCGGATGAAAAGATGCGAACGTGTACGCAGGGAACCAGTAATTTGCCGTATCGATTGGCATCGATCTCGATCGCGTGAAATCGAAGGGATCGTAACCGTGGCCACGGTTAAATGAAAACAGCTACCGACGTCGTTGAAAATACACACTCTGTTACACGAAGGGGAGTTAGATCGTTTCGAAAAACCG